CTGGCCTCCCAGGGGCATTGGCTCTCAGGCCTCCTGCCCAGCCAGCAGCCGATTTCCCAGTGATTAGGAGAAGGAGGAAAAAAACGGCAGGAGCCAAGTTCATTTCAATTACCCTCATCCTCTCCCCGGAGCGCCCATGCCCCTTGCTAAGTGCGTCTAGTGGACACGGATAAGTATTAAGTAGGGGGAACACTGCCGGTGCCCCCAGACACCTTGTAGTCATCTCCTGATTTGGCTCTGAGAACAGCCTGTGCCCCTCTCCCCACCCATTCATCATCAACACACAGTCCCACTCCTCAGAGTCCGGGGAAGCCTTCGCAGGGATGCAGTCAACACCTGGACCACTGTGGACCTGGGTCTCCCATGGCCCCTGGAATCAAAGACTGGACTCTATCAGGTTGTAGGCCTCTGAGGAGAACCACCCCTCTTCCCCCACACCCCAATTCTCCTAGGAGTTCAGCCAAGATAGTGCCCTGAGAGTGGCAGGTTCCTGGGGCAGGAGCGAACTCAGTCGCAGACAGCACCTGTGTCTCAGACTGACAGATGCTGTTATGAATTGAACTGGGTCCTCCCACGCAGGCGCCTGAATCCTAATCCCTATACCTGTGGTTGGAATACCATTAGGATAGGGTTTTCTTTGTGAAGTCAATGAGGCCCTCTCAAGGTAGGGTGGGTCCCCCACCTAATCGTTTCTGAGATTGAACAAAAGCAGGTTAGGCACAGAACCAGAGCACAAACTGGAGTGGGGAGGGGGGTATAGTCGCCCTGTGAAGATCCACAAGGAACAGAGGGCATCCAGGGCTACTGAAGAGATAAAGATTGTCCCCTAGAGCTGACTGAGAGACAAGTTCCCCCTCCTCAACCCTACCCCCTAAACTCAAAGTTCTAGCCCCCTGAACAGTGAGAAAATTCATTTCTGTTCTTTCAAGTCCCCCACTTGTGGTATTTCTGTTAGGGCAGCACGAGACGGAGGCTAGACCATACATTGTACACGCAGCTGGGTGATCTAGGTGATCCAACTGAGCCCTGAGGCTCAGAGACAGGAGGCAATGAAGTCAACGACACACAGCAAGGCTGTGCAAAGCTGAGGTAGGGCTCCCATCTTAAAACCCTCTGTCCACTGTCCTCCAGCCCGGTGCCTTCTCTGTCTGGGTGGGGAAGTGGACAATCCCAGATGGGTAGGTTCCCCACCACTGAGCGTGTCCGCGCATCCATCGCTCATCCGTCATCCACTCCGACAAGGGGCAAGGTCGGTGCCTGCTGAAGCCGCAGAGCTTGAGGACTTGGCTGGACTCCTGAGCCCGTGAGTTGGAAGGAATCGTCAAGAGCAGGCGTTCAACTTCCACATCTACACCCCCGGCCAGGTGCTCTGCTCCACTGAACAGCAAGCATCAGGAGCTGCGTTCAGGAGTGAGAAACTTCAGACATTGTCGGGGGTGTGTGTGTGTGTGTGTGTGTGTGTGTGTGTGTGTGTGTGTGTGTGTGCGCGCGCATGCGCGCGCGCATCAGGGTGGCACATGTACCCAAATGGCAAGGATGCCCTGTGAGTGCACATCTGGACCGGTTATGTCCGGCAGAGAGTCCTTCTACTGAGGGGAGGGGAAAGGGGGTTCCTCCATCCCTCCTGCATATTAGGTTTTTGTGTTTTATATTTACTGCCACTGTGCCCTTTATTTAATTAAAATTGTTTTCTATCCATGCCGACGACAATTCCTGATTTGAGAAATTTCCTGACCCCATTTATTTTTCCTTCAAATAAAACAAGGCAGGGAAGAGGGAAGGGAATGTAGTGTCTTTCACGCAGACAAAGGAGCACCTGGGCGGCGTCAGCGGTTATGTGCTTGACAACAGAACCAGAGGTGGGTGATTGGCACCTACTCAGAGGGACCGCGGAAGAAAAGCCTGGTGGTCTGCTTCCCAAGGGTCACAGCGGTGAAACTCAGCGGAGCCAGGTCTGCTCTGGAGGCACGCAGTGCCTGTGAGGTTGCCATGGATCAGGAGCAAGCACGGCAGTTGGCTGAGGTTTGAGTTGGACATTTACTAAAACTAAGGAGGTCCCAATTGTCCTGAGTTAAATGAGGGATTGAACGAACTAAGACTGCCTCGCCATGCCCCAACTAATAAACAAGGGGGATCATGGGGAACGCCAGAGATTGTATCACTTCCTGAATGCTCTGTGTTAGTTTTGAGTATGTCCCTCTCGGCCTCACCTCGAGATCAGAGAAATGGCAGCTCAGACAATTAAACCTAAAGAATCCATAACTTGCTGGTGATATTTGCATTGTGAAAACACCCTCTCAACAGGGTGAAACTGAGGTAGAGGAAGAAGCCAATAATGTACAAACTCAGTGAAGACATTTTTTTTAAGACTACTGCTGTCAAGTGGACTCCAACTCACAGTGACCCCTACAGGGCTCAGGAGAACTGCCTCGTTGGATTTCCAAGAGAATCGACCTTTCGGGAAGCTGATGGCAACATCCTTTTCCCACAGAGCAGTGGGTGGATTCAAACCACAAACCCTTGCATTACCAGCCCAATGCTTAATCCATGGCATCAACAGGGCTCCCCAAAAGAGAAAGCACAAGCTTAGCTTGGGTGGAGCTCATCGTCTCATGGGAGGTGGGGAGAGTGGGGGAAAGACTGGCACAGCAGGTAGAGCCTGTGGCCAGCTGATTATTCCATGAGGTTAATCCTCACACCCACTCTGTGATCCCCTTTTACAGCTGATGATTCCGAGGTTCAGAGAGATTTCATGATAAAAAGCTAGTACACAGCAGGGTCAAAATTGAATCCCAAGTCTTTCTGACTCCAAAGGTGTTGCTCTTGTGTTAGGCAAGACTAGAAGCTGTAGCCGCTGGAAGATGGTCTATTAACTATGAACAAGAGACACTGACTATAAAACCATGATCACAGAGGGCTTCGTCAGCGAAAAGCCCTGGGGACCCACGGGGCCTGTCATCTCCTCTGTGTAGCACATGCCTGGCCGTGAGCGTGGCCATGGTACTTGTCATGGGGCATTCCCTGGGGTGCTCTTTCCAGAGGGGAAAGTTCGTGAATGCGTGCCCATGAACTCATGCTGGAACATCACCACTGTTCAGTCTGAGCATGGATTTGAACGTTTCTTTCCCAGATGCAGGCCTAGCCTATCTGGGCCCCCTCGAGGCTAGGGAAAGCCTGTTGACATGCAAACGCCAGAGAGGCCTATTCACTAGAGCAATTGGGCCTGATCCAAATTTAACATGTCTTCATGATTCTGAAAATCACTTCCGAAGCAACGAGTAACTAACGACAAACTACAAAAAGATGACAAGGAAGAAGGAGGCCTTTGAATTACAGGGTTGGTGGAGGATCTTGACTATACCCTGGACGGTGGTGTCCCAAACCCAAGCCCAACTCACTGCCCAGTCCTGCCCCACCCTCACAATTCCTATGTTTGAGCTCATTGTTGCAGCCGCTGCGACAATTCATCTCGTGGAGGGTCTTCCTCTTTCTCGCGCACACGCCATTTTACCACCACGATGTCCTCTTCTAGGGACTGGTCTCTCCTGATAATATGTCCAAAGCACATGCGGCCAAGTCTCACTAGCCGTGCCTCTGGGCCGGCGGTTCTCAACCTGGAGATCTCGGTCCCTTTGCAGGGTCGAACGACCCTTTCACAGGGGTCACCGGATTCATCACAGTAGCAAAATGACAGTGATGAAGTAGCAATGAAAATAACGTTATGGTGGGGGGGTTACCACCACGTGAGGAACTGTATGAAAGGGTGCTAGCAAAGAGTAAGAACTACTGCTCTAGGGACATTCTGCCTATACTTCTAAAACCAGGTGGTTTGTTCCTTTGGCAGCCCATGTACTTGGCAATATTCTTTGCCAGTACCCTAATTCAAAAGCACTTGGTTCTTTTTTTTTTTTTGTGGGGGGGGCGTCTATTTTATTCAACGTCCAACTTCCACATGCCTTTGAGGTTAGTGAAAAGACCATGGCTCTGGTGGGGCACACCACGAGTCCTCAAAGTATCGGCATGGACTACCAGAAGAACAAACACATCTGTCGTGGAGGAAGTCCCCAGAGTGCTCCTAGAAGGGAGGATGGCCAGACTTCATCTCGCATGTTTTGGACATGTCATCAGGAGAGCCGAGTCCCTGGAAAAGGGCCACCGTTGAGAAAATGGAGGGTCCGTGGCTGCAGCCAAGGACTCAGACAGAGGGTAGCACCACACCAGGCAGAGGACATTGGAATCCTGTTGCTCTCCGGTTGCTCGGTGGTGGCACACAGAACAACAATAACTTAACTCACTGCCATCGGGTCAATGCTGATTCATAGCAATCCCCGTGGGTTGCCGAGACGGTAACTGTTGACGGGAGTAGAAAGCCCCGGCTTTCTCCCGCGGAGCTGCTGGTTTCGAACTGCCGACCAAGCGGACCACACGCCAGGCTCCCAGAACAGCAATGGGACTTCCTTTAGCGGAGCCGTCGAGCTTCCGAAAGGCAAACGCTAGAGGGCAGTCGACCTTACCGAGGGAACGGGATCGACGGAGGCTTTTTGAGCCTCGGCGCGTGCCGTCGCCGCCGAGTCTGCGTGGCCGGCGCGCCTGCGCACTGCGACCCAGGAGGCGTCCTCCGCGCGGCTGGGTAAAGCGCGGCCCCGGCCCGTTCTTGAAAGCGGACGCGGCAGCCTCTGCCGGTGTAGCCGCCGCCATGAGTCGCAACTACAACGATGAGCTGCAGTTCTTGGAAAAAGTCAACAAGAACTGCTGGAGGATCAAGAAGGGTTTCGTGCCTAACATGCAGGTGAGCCGCGACGGGGCACCTGGGAGCGGGACTTCCGGGCCCCGGGGCGCCTCCTTCCCCGGCAGCGCCGGGCCTCCTCCCGCCTGCTCCGCGTCTCCGGTAGCCGGGGGGCTGCCACGGCCTCCGCCCCGACCCTTCGCGCCCCGGGGCAGCTCGGACCTAGAGGGGGGAGCCCATCGGGAGGTGGCCGGAGCTGCCGCGTCCATGTGGACTCATGGGCGCCCGGAGGCGGCTCCTCAGTCCGCGCCTCCTCAGGAGGTGCTCCTGGGGCCGAGCGCCCTGCGGGACCCGGCCCTCCGAGTCCTGCGGTTCTTCGAGGCTGTTGTGTGACTCAGGTGTTTAACAAACCCGCTCCAGGTTGGTTTTCAGTGCAAGCCTTTTCCTCACAGCCGCTTAGGAGGGCCGGTGGAATATGTCCATCGGTATACATGCCTTTGAATTCCGGCGTTGGTAAAGAGTTTTGAAAGTACCAAACCGAAACTAAACCCACTGCGGTGGAGTTGGTGCCGCACTCCTCGAGACCCTGTAGGACAGGGTAGAACCGCCCTGGTGGGTTTTGGAGACAAAGTAACTCATTAAAGGAGTAGAGAGCCCTGTCTTTCCTCACAGAGCCGCGGGTGGTACCAAACTCTCGACCTTGTGGATAGAAGCTCAACGTGGGACTCACTACGCCACCTGGGCGCCTTACCAAAAGTACCGTGGACCGCCAAAAGCACTAATCTGCCTTGGGCAAAAAGACAGCCAGAACGCTCCTTCAGGAGAGGCAAGGGTGGAGAGAGAGACTCCATTGCCGTTCTTTGCACATGCTGTCAGGGGAGGCCAGCTCCTGGGGTAGGACGTCATGCTTGGTAAAGTGGAGAAGCCGAGGAAAGGAGGAAGACCCTCCACAAACTGGATTCACACAGTGGCTGCAAAGATAGGTGTGAACGTGACAACTGTGAGGGTGACACAGGGCCGGAGGAGCCGCGTGAAAGGAGGAAGGCCCTCCACAAACTGGATTCACACGGTGGCTGCAAAGATAGGTGTGAACGTGACAACCGTGAGGGTGACACAGGGCCAGGCAGTGTTTCCGTTGTACAAAGGGTCGCTGTTGGAACCAACACAACAGCCCGTACCAGCAACAGCACTGCTCTAGGGTCACGCTTAGAGGTGGAAGGGACACGTGGCAGTGGGTTCAGTCCTTTATGAGAACGTGAAGCATGCAGTGAAATGACTCGTTCTTTCCAACATAATTTTCATCTGTACACTGTTTCCCTTTGTTCCCTAAAAACCTCCCCTTGCCATATTTGTGCTCACTTCTGCTTCAGCAATGTCCCCTGTCTCTAAAGAACCAGCTCACTCGGCACCTGCAAAACCTGCCCCAGCTCCGAGGCCTGGGACTACCTCCTCAGATTCTCAGATCATAGAACTCTGCCCTGTCGCGTTTCCAAGGCTGTGAATCCTTATGGAAATAGACGGCCACGCCTTTCTTCTCTTTTAAAAATAACTTTATTGGGGGCTTATACAGCTCTTAGCACCATGCATCCGTTCATTGTGTCAAGCACATTTGAACATTTGTTGCCATCATCATTTTCAAAACATTTTCTTTCTACCTGAGCCCTTAGTATCTGCTCCTCTTTTTCCCCTCCCTCCCTCATGAACCCTTGATAATTTACAAAATTATCATAATTTTTTCATGTCTAACACTGACTGATGTCTCCCTTCACCCACTTTTCTGTTGTCTGTCCCCCTGGGAGGGGGTTATATGTAGAGATCGGTTCCCCCTTTCTCTCCCCACCTTACCCTTACTGATACTCGCACTATTAGCGCTGGGGGATTTATCTGTCCTGGATTCCCAGTGTTTCCAGCTCTTATCTGTACCCGTGTACATGCTCTGATCTAGCCGGATTTGTAAGGTAGAATTGGGGTCATGCTAGTGGGGGGGTGAGAGGGGCCATGTACCTGAGTCAAGGCCTAATGTCCATCTGCTACCTTAAAACTTAACATATAGTTACATGTAAATAGATCTATTTCCATATCTTTATATGTAAATATATTTGCATAATGCCCTTTGCCTCCTAGTTTTTTCCGTTACTTCATTTACTTTCCTCGTGACCCACTATCATGTTCGGCCTTCATTCGGGTTTCAGTAATTCCTCTCAGTTTCATTGTCCTTAATCAAGCCCTACCAGGCATCCACTACGCCCTCCTCACCATCAAATTTAGATCACTTGTTCCTTTGTCCCTGGGTTTGTTAACAGCTGCATTCTTTCCTCAGCCTCCCCCTTTCCCTGTGGCCCCCCCTGAACCGGTCCCATTTTTTTCCCTCTGGATTGTTTATCCCTCCTATCTTATTTAGATAGACATGCAGAGGCAATAATAAACGCAAAAATAAGACAGCAAAACAACAGCAAAAAAAGCCTATAAATAGTTCCAGGTCTGTTTGTTGACCTTTAGGAGTATTTTCCGGTTGAGTCTGGTGAGGTACCACGCCCTGGCCTCAAAGTCTATTTCTGCTATTAGCCGGGGAACTTCACTACTTTGCCCCCCTTGCTGCTCTGTTGCACGCCCTTAGCATTTCACCTCATTGTGGTGGGGTTAGATGGGGCACAGTTCCCGCACTGTGCCTCCATTCACCCCTTTCTTCTGCGGAACACATGGTGGATTTGACCCACTAGCCTTTCCTTTAGCTGCTGAGTACTGCCAGTTACCACTGTGCCATCCGGGCACCTTGACCCGTAATAAAACCCAAAGAACCAAACCCACTGCCATCAAGTGGATTCTGACACATAGTGACCTTATCTAGGGTATCTGAGGCTATAATCATTACAGAGTGATAGCCTCAACTTTCTCTTTTAGGAGCAGCTGGTGCATTTGAACCTCTAGCCATGCAATTAGCAGTCCAATGCTTGCCCAATAGTGCCACCAGGGCTCCTTTTCTGAACCATAGTCAAGTCCTTAGTAAATGCTTGAAAGAATTGGTGTATTTGAATTGTGCTGGAGAAGAATTTTGAAAGTACCATGAACTGTTAAAAGGACAAACTGGTCTGTGTTGGAAGAAGTAGGACCAGATTGTTCCTTAGAGGCAAGAATGACAAGACTTAACATACTGTGGACATATTGTCAGGAGAGACCAGTCCCTGGAGAAGGACATCGTGCTTTGTAAAAAAGAAGGCCCTCAGGGAGATGGATTGACACAAGGAGTGGCTGCATCAATGCGCTCTGAGCTCTGGCATGGGAACAGTTGTGAGGCTGGCCCAGAATGGTGCAGTGTTTTGTTCTGTTGTGCCTGAGGTCTCAATAGGTCAGAGCCAGCTCGATGGCACCTAACAGCAACCAACGCTTGGTGAATCCATGGGACCCTAAGAACGTGTATGAGACAGCTTCCGTCAATGGGTATTGTTATTCATGCAGTAATGATGACGAGTAAGAGTTACAAGAAATAAATATGCTTGTCTAAATGATTGTGTGTGAAATCTTCCGTTCTCTGTTACTTCCTATGTGCTCTGCTGAAAATACCTTGATTGTTGCGAGTGTTATGTAATTACACCTCGCACTGCCTTTTTGTGCCTTCTCCAAGCTTCTTTACCATCTCGACTGAGGTAGGTGAGAGCACATGTTCGATTTTTTCAAGATCATTGCTTCCGTGCGTGTAGATCGGTTAGGCACGTCGGCTATTCAGACCGACCGCCCACTTTACGCTGCGTGAGAGAGATGAGGCCCCTGCTCCTCCGGGAAAGGTGAAGGTTGCTATGAGTCAGAACGACCCAAAGGAAATGGGTATGGACGTCGGTTTGTAAATCAGCTTAAGACAATAAAATGTGATCCTTTGGTTTAAAGACAAGAAATATACTAAGGCCCAGTGACTTCATTTCTGCATTTAGAATTTGAGTTGTATGCTTCTGTGTTTTCAAAACCCATTACTAGTGTGGGAGGGGGGACACTGAGCACTCGCCTCGTGAGAGTAGTCCTCGTCTGTATCGCAAAGAAAAGGCCTTATCTGAGCGTAAAACGACTTTTGAAGGTGGCAGAGTACATTTGAAAGGACTACACACATTTTGGTGCCTCTAATGTTAGACTTGTGTCTGGTTCTATTGGACCTACTGATTCCATCAGTGGCGCAAATACATTCCCCTATCAGCTCTAGTTTGTGAGGTAGAGAACATAGGCTGTATACCACATGCTCTGCTTGCCCATAAAAAAATCAAGACATGTTAATGTAGTCTTAGGCTGATATAGAAGTTCACACTGACCTTATTTAAAGTAGTTTGGGTGGTACTTAATATTTAAGTCAACTTATACTTCAGGTGGTGTCCTTTGGTCCAAAGATGTATTTGAATAGTGAAAAGTACATGAACTTGGAATTCTTCCCAAGTATCACTTCACCTCTGTTCAGAAGAAACTGAATAGCAGGCCGTTCCCATTTATTATCTTAAAAAGTGGCCAGAAATAAGAGCTGGTGTCCCTGAAAGGAGGCCTGGGGGCAGAGCGGGTTATGTGTGTGGCAGCTCACCAGTCTCAGCTGTGGGAACCCTCTGGCTGCTCCGCAAGAGAAAGATGCGGCCTCGGGCCCCGGAGAGGTTTGCAGCCACAGACACCCACAGGAGAGGTGCCACTCTGCCCTTTGGGTCTCTGAGTCGTAATCGACCGGTGGGGAGTTTGCTTCAGTAAAAAGAGATCAAATGCTCTGAAACCCCAGATGGTTCAGTCAGAATCCAAACTCAATTATTGAAAGTAAATGTTCTGGGCTTGTTATAAGAGGGCCCCAACTGTGTTCTGAAATGTGGACTGCATAATTTGAAGAAGAAAAATTGAAATATTCAAAAGATTTATGAATGTTGCTATGAATTCTTACATTTTTGACACTCTGTAAATTGCCCTTATGCCTTGCATATATGTGCTTTTAAATTTTTCTTTCTTGTTTCCACTTCTCAAGCTGTGTTCTGGCTCTGCAGTATCCAGCTTGTCCTCTCTGTATGTTCTACAGCCTCCCGTAGCAAAAAGAAAAACCCACTGCTGTCTAGTCTATTCTAACTCATAGTGACCCTTTACGACAGGAGAACTGCCCCTTCAGTCTTCCAAACCTTTAAATCTGCTCAAGGCTGCAGACTGGTGGCATAGACGCACTGGCCCTTTTGATTGGCATCACAATACATATCCAACTAGCCACCCTGGGTCCATAGACAGCTTTCCTTGGAAGTCTCTTAATTCCTTATCAAATATTCCTACCTTTCTTGTCTTGACCCTCTAATTTCTGAGTCTGAATTCTCATTTAAAGCTGTAATGATAAGTAAATTAGTGGAAGTCCAGGCGAGCGCCCTAGCGAGAGCTGCTGTGGTCTCCAGCGTGGTGTTGAGTCGGCACTCCAGGAGCGGCCTCCAAGCCAGCTCCACGGAGAAGAGCTGCTGCTGTCGGACTGGGAGCGTAGTGGCGTTGATTCTAGGAGGTGGTTGGCACCGTTGGCCACTAGAACGAGCAAAGCAGAAGAAAAGGAAAGTCCCGCCTGCGTGTGTGTGCTCTGTGCAGTGCCTCTGTTACATCACGTGCATCTGCTTTTCTTCCGTTCGGGACCAGGTGGAAGGCGTTTTCTACGTGAATGACTCTTTGGAGAAATTAATGTTTGAGGAGTTACGGAATTCCTGCCGAGGTGGAGGTAGGTACTTTAGAATTTCACGTGTGGTGCAAGCGCCATCTTCACTGGGCGCTGATAAAGTAGTGATTCACTGGTCAGTTTTAAACCTTGTCAAGGAGTAATCGGTCACAACTTAGAGCGAGACACCAAAGCTGTCCCTCATGTGGCCTCTTGGCCTGTGAAGGGATTTGGAGCTGAGTGGTTGTGTCTCAGCTGACCACCTTCAACAGTAGTGACAAGAGCTCCTGTTTATTGAGAACTTTCTATGTGCTGGGCACGCTACTAAACGCTTCTACATGCAAAACCTCCTGCTGTCTACCATATTGCTGTGCAAGTAGCACATACATTGTGTGCTGGGGGGTTTGTTTTGTTTTGCAAAGCCTGTGCACACCCACCTACATTAACTACCTATGCACATCGGTCTGAAAAATATGATGCCCCCAAGAGGAAGAAGCCAAGACTCAGGCAAAATAATTGAATTTGCCCAAACAAGCAACTTTGTGGTGTCAAAACCAGAATTCTGATCCAGGAGTGACTGGCCAACTTCAGTGTTTTTAACCAGTTCCTGTTATTGTCGTTGCTGGTTGCCATCAAGGCAAGTCTGACTCCTGCAGAACAGACGCGCACTCCGTGGCCTTTCAGAGCTGTGAACCTCTGAAAGCAAATTGCCAGGCCTGTCTTCTGAGGCACCTCTGGTGGTCTCGAACCCGCCACCCTTTGAGCAGCAGTTGAGCACTTGACCATTTGTGCTACCCAGTGACTTCCCCCAGTTCACCAATCTCCCTGCACTGGCTCATCTCATCCTCCTAACAGGGCAGCAGGGCGCTGTTGAGATAGGTGCGTGTGTCAGGTGCTCCTGTACCTAGGGCTTTGCGTGTGGTGTGCGCTCGAGTCAGTTCCGACTCATAGTGACCCTGTGGGACAGAGTGGACCTGCCCGTGGTCTCCACGGCTGTCGTCTCTACCAAAGCAGACCCCACATTCTCCCGCAGCCCGACTGGTGAGTTCAGATCGTAAGCCGAGTGCCTCACCACTGTGCCACCAGAGTGCTGTCTAATGCGGCCATAGAGACCATCCAGCTTTAACCCTCTTTTAGGCCAACACAAAATACTGGGTAAGCAAGGCCCCTCTCCCTGGCTCTCGAGTGACCCAGCTACGGAGTGACAGAGCTGAGACTGGAACCCAAATCCCCTGGGCCGGCCGGCGTCTTTCCTCCCTCTGGCCTCACTTGTGGCCAAACTGGCACTCACAGCTGTCCACATTTGCACTGCTGAATGCTGTTCCCTACTGGCGACAGTGGTGTCAGACTGCACATCACCCAGGAAAATCTGGCCGCTTTCCTCGTGTATGCTCGGCGGCTGGCTGCCTTTGCCACCTTCCCTGTGCACCCAATGCCACCTTCAGGACGCTCCTCTCCCACGTCCACCAAACCTTTTTGGCTTTATTGGTGTAACAGCCCACACCATTCCCACGCACGGAACATGCTTTCAGGTTGTGTGAATATTACACCCGGTGCTGAAAATCAGATGTGTCTCTTACGTATTGTCTTCTTATCTCCAGGGGTGGGTGGCTTCCTGCCAGCCATGAAACAGATCGGCAACGTGGCAGCCCTGCCCGGGATTGTTCACGTGAGTCAGCGTCCAGAGCGAGCTTTGCTCAGGGCTGTTTCCTCATCCTTGAGGGTTTGTTGCTTAGATGGTGACTTTTGAACTCTCAGAGCAACCACATGCTTCGGGTTATGGTCGTATCCCGGGTTCCAGTGCCTTCTGGTCTTCCTTGCCGCCGGCTTTCAAGTGCTTTTTGTGCTTCTCTGCCCCTTTGCCATGCCATGCGTCACTGTCCCTGGATCAGCCTCACGGTGCCCACAGTCCAGAGAGGGTCGGAACAGAATGGAGCAGTGTTGGCCTGGCTGGAGGGAGGGAGGAGGGCAGCACAGGGAATCTCCAGGCCTGCTGGAAAAGGAGAGTGGGAAGGGGGGGGGGAGGCAGAGCACAAAGTCAGTGTCCACCTTCGACCACTAGAGGTCACAGTTAGAAATGAAGCGATCTGTTCCCTAGTTTTGTTTTGTTTTAGGTCTTTAGACTGGTTACTTTGCTGTTCACTTGGGAAAATTAAACAGAGAAACCTTGGACATGTTAGGAATCACACATGTCCAACTGTGTCCATATCTTTTCCATGTTTGACTTGCATGCTTCCTGGATCAAAATCCATTTTCAGGCTCCAGATGTGGAACGTGTATATACAGTTCGTAGCTTAAGATCAGAGGGAGTTCTTTGTCTGATTGGGTAAACACAAACCAAAACCTAACTCACTGACCTGCAGTCCGTGCCAACTCATAGCAGCCCTGTAGGACAGGCTAGAACTGCCCCTGTGCATGTCTGAGACTAACTCTTAACAAGAGTAGGAAGTCTCATCTCCCTCCCGTGGAGCAGCTTGTGGTTTTGAACTGCTGACTTTGTGATTAGCAGACCAAACACATAGCTCACTGTGCCACCAGGGCTCCTGCATTAACTCAAGGACCGATATACGTCACTTATTTCTCACTTAAGAACCCAGTGTGATCACTATTTATCAGTGTCTTCTGGTCATCTATAAAATGTAAGATTTTACAGCTAGTATGTGGTCCTCTTGTGGTATGTTATTCTGAAGTTTTTCTGTTTGTGGCTCTTTAGTTAATGTTAATGTTCAGACTACAGGAAGGACTTCCCCATATGCCAATAGGTATTACGCAATGCTGGTGTCCTGTTTGGGGGAGGGGCCAGCCTGTGGCCACCGTGAAAATCACCATCCGGTCGACCAGTGCCAGTCCATGCACGTTGTTTCATCTCCTGTTCTCTTTCAGCGTTCTATTGGTCTTCCGGATGTCCACTCCGGTTACGGGTTTGCTATTGGGAACATGGCAGCCTTTGACATGGACAACCCTGAGGCAGTGGTTTCGCCAGGTACGTTGGCTGTGCACGTGGCTTCTCTGTGAGTCGTATGTCTGAGACAGCACACTGCTTCCCACTCTCTGCACTCTCCATCCATCATGGTCTGTCCGTGATTGTCCTTTCACTTACTGAGGGCATTGGCCATGATCTCGGGCGGCAGTAGCACAAGAAGCGTGTGTTCACAGAATGTCTGTTGAGCTCCCACTAGGTGCCTGGCACCTTGCAAACCTCGGGCTCCAAATCCGGTTGAGACCCTTTTCTGGCACATCACGGACCTTGTGGCTCCGTTGCCTCAGGGCCCGTGGGGGCTTGTAGGCTACCTCCCGGCGTTCTTGTGAGGACTGGTTCCAGTCAGGCTCAGGACAGGTACCTTTAGACTTTGCTCTCAGCATCACGGATCAGCTTGAATCCTATACACCATTTTTGCTGGGGGTGGGGGGTGCGAGCGGCTCCCTGGAACATTCCACACCAGAATTGAGACCTCTGCTTTTAAGAAGCTTGAATTGAAAGGGAAAGTTGAAACAACTGTTGCGAGTTCTGTTCTGCCTCTGCCAGTCCTCAGTCATTTCAGCCCTCTTCTTGGCTGGGGATCACTAGGAGCGCCTGTGAGCTATAAAGAGAGCTGTCTTGACTGCACTGCAGAGCTAGCACTGCGGTGAGAATGGGGAGGAGAGGACCAGAGCGGCACCGGCTTGCTGTCCCTCCTTACCCACTGCCCTCGAGGCAGTCTCGACTCGGCAGCCCTAGGGCAGAGTCCAGGTGCTCTTCGGGCTTCGAGACTGCATCTGTAAGGAGCCAGGCAACCTCAGCGCTCCCCTGCTATGTGGCTGGTGGGTTTGAACTGCCTACCTTAGGGTGAGCAGCCCAAGGCTTAGTCTACTGAGCCACCACAGCTCCCGAGCCCAGCATCTGGTCCAGTTTTTTCTTGAAGTAATGGTGGATTTTCATCAGTTAATGACCTTGACACACTGACCTCGAGTGTATGCGTGTGGTCCTGTGTACACTTGGATTACAGTGCAATACAAGGTGCTGGTTAAGAAAAAGTACTGGTGGTTGCTATCAAGTCCACTTTGTTCATAGTGACCTCGTGCGACAGTGAGTCCTGCCACATAGGGATTTCTAGGCTGTCATGTTTACAGGAGCTGACCACTAAGTCTGTCTTCCCCAGAGCCTCTGGTTAGGCTCAAACTGAACCATTGAGTAAGCAGTCAAGTGCTTAAAGTGTTGGTCCACCAGGGCTCCTTTAATAAAAAACTGCCAAACTCTAAAAACCATGAGTTTGCATTGACGCCATCGGAGCCCCAGTGGTGCTGTTGGGAGAGTGTTGAGCTGCTAACTGCAAAGTCTGCAGTTCAAACCCACTAGCCTCCCCTCAGGGAAAATGATGAGCCTGTCTGCTCCTATAAAAGTCTACAGCCTCAGAAACTCACCCTATACAGAGTCACTGTGAATCGGAATCTACTCGATGATCGTGGGTTTGGTTTGGGGTCTTGGTTGCCTGGGGGGCAATCGACAGCCTTACCCACATAAATTGGAAAGCTGCAAGCTGAAATGACGATGGTTTAAGCATGCGACTAAAACTTATATGATGGCTATTTGCGAGCAAACAGTACTGAAGGGAAAGGTACAATAGAGGGTGTCAGCAAAACCTAGAGGTGGTGTTTTGGACAGACCTGGAGAATGTGTAATTCTTGCCAAGAGTGGTCCAGGGAAGAGCCCGTGCTGATCACCTTTCTCCTGAGCTCATCACCGCCCCCTGGCTATTCAGCTGCCATTAGTATGTGTCTTGCTCTGGAGCCATCAGACCGCCGCAGCAGAGAACCACTGGGGCCCTGGAGACTTGACTCAAAGGGCTGGCTGTCTTGAAACCCACGCCCGTCTCCCTGTGCCGCAGGTGGTGTCGGGTTCGATATCAACTGTGGGGTCCGCCTGCTGAGAACCAACCTGGATGAGAGTGACGTGCAGCCTGTGAAGGAGCAGCTGGCCCAGGCCATGTTTGACCACATCCCCGTCGGCGTGGGGTCCAAAGGGGTCATCCCGATGAATGCCAAGTAAGGGCATAGGGGATGGTGGCTGAATGGACATCCCGGAGGACACTCGGAGGTGGTGGGGTCTTCGTCATCCTCCAGGAAGTGGGAGCAAATTGTTGCGTGAGCAGCCAGGACCCGCTGTGTGTGAGCCACTTAACATTGTGGTCTGACGGCCACTGGCATGGCGCTTCCTTGGCAGGCTCCACCCCTCCATTACTCGAGTGTCACAACCAGACTACCAGGTCCCATGTTTCCGTGCACGTGAGAAGATTATGCTGTCTTAATGTGTGCAGTAGCATTGAACAAGTGGGAAACACTGTGAGATCGGCCACAGGAATGGACGCAGGCGTGAAGCGAGCACACGCACTCGTGGCAATGGCACCAGTAGACTTGCTCACCCCTTCCCTTTGTTAGAGTGCTCTCTCTGTGAAGCACCGCAGAGCAGGTCTGTGTGGACCCTGCCCTGTTTCATATAGACCCAGCCCTAACATGCCTGCTTTACAAGGAATTCCTTCAAACCAAAGAGCCTACTGCCTTTGTGTCGGTCAGCCGGGTATTTATCCAGAACCTTCCTTTTGGGACGACAGAGGGCACTCCTCAGCTTGCTTTGTGCCTTGATTGTCCCCCTCTTGAGTTCCCCTGCTTTCTAAGGTCGAGAATCAAGCCTGAGACCACAGGGTGCCTCCGGTCCCTCCGGGGGCCTGCACAGCTGTGCTGCCCCAGAGTCCTGAGTGTGGGCTATCATCCAAGTGCTGTCCACCGCACCCCTCCCCTGGCGGCCCGCCTGTGTCCCAGTGGGGCGGTGCTGCAGAGGGTTCCCAGTGGCCGGTTGTCAGCAAGAGGCTGCCAGGCCTTTCTTTCCAGGTGTTACTACCTCAGTGCGTGTCCCCCACTCCCCCCCCCCCAATAGAGGTAACATGGGTGCTCTCAGAAAGCGCTTGTTCTCGGTTTTCTGGAGATGCTGATGAACACAAGGGGTGCATGAAGAGACACTGACAGCGTCTCAGACCCTTGATCTTCAGGCCCATGGGGTTCCCAGAAGTCTGAATCGACCTGGCCACAGTGCGTTTGCGCTGGGCCGCACGCAGCACCCACGCATGTTCAGCTTCCCCATGCAGGCGCCCTTGGGTCAGGGTGAGACCGCCAGACACCCTGGTGTGTCAGCAGACTGTGAGGTTTCATAAGTGGAGGAACTGCAGTGGCACTCATGGTAGCTCCCAATAACTGAGGTGATTCTAGATCCCCTTTGGCTACTTGTTAACCCCTCACAGGACTCAGGAGCAGAGAGGCCACAGTAATGTAAAAAATGCTTTGAAGCGTACGAGAGTGTAAATGTCAGGCAGAGTTACAGTTCCCTCTGGTACAGCATTTACCATTTCAGGTGACAGTTATTTAGGCTTCAGCTCCCTCAGCGAGCTCCTGAAGGGCATAAATTGTTTGTGAGCCGGCTTCCCTCAGCGAATAGCGAGAGCACACCCACTCTGGCCCAGAGGGACCACCACTCACTCAGCCCGCATAGTCTTGTGCTCGCCTTTAGAGGTGTGCTCGCACTGAGTCGTAACCTCCTCTGCTGTGGGATGACTGACCCTTTTTCCTAACCTCAGAGACTTGGAGGAGGCCTTGGAGATGGGTGTGGACTGGTCCTTGAGAGAAGGCTACGCCTGGGCCGAAGACAAGGAGCACTGTGAGGAGTATGGAAGGATGCTACAGGCCGACCCCAACAAGGTCTCCGCGAGGGCCAAGAAAAGAGGTCTTCCTCAGGTGACTCCTGGGGGCATGGGATGGTGGGGGGTGGCGCCTGACCTCCCGTGACTTCACGGGAGCAGGGGGGCCTCAGCCCGAGGCCGGCCTGTGAGGTGGACGGCAGGCAGACCGCCACCCTCAGAGCTTCCCGGCCGGTTCTCCCAGGACCCCCCTGCTGCATGCAGACGTTCCTTGTTCTCCGTGGCCGCCCAGCGCTCACAGACAGTGCTCAGCAGTCCTCGGGTTTATTGGTGATTCCGGGAGAGAGAGCAGGCTTTGGACTCCATGAAGAGTTAGTCTCCAGAGCCCATGGGGCAGTTCTGCCCTGTCTTTTAGGGGCCCCAAGGAGTTGGCATCAACCCGATGGTTGTGAGTTTGGGTTTTGGGGGTGGGGGGAGGCAGGGTTCTGTATTAGGTGACAGTTCACGACCTGCCAGGCTTCGGCTACAGGTCTTCAGATCAGAGTGCCTCTCACCATGTCCACAGGCTGCAGGCCTCTCAGCCACCCGACCCTGGGCCTTGGTCCTGCTTGGACAGTGTCACAGGGTCCTTTTAGTGATGCCGATAGGTGTTCCAAATCACTCCCTGGAATGTAAAGCTTCTACCCAAAGCACTGGCTCTAGGCTGTGAGGCAACAAGCCTGGCTCCTCGGTGCCAGGAGGCACCCCACACCCCAAGGCAGCCTCCCGCCCAGAGGCCCTCAGCCTCACGCGCTCTGGGCCAGAAGGCCACTGCCCTTCCCTGCCCTGGTGTGTCTGCACAGGAGTCCACTTCTAGTGTGTCTCTCTCATGGCACAGAGGGCCCCCTTCCTGCTTCTGCAGTCTTCAAGAAGGCAAAACTGACCCCACCCCCACGTTAGAGCTCCATGCAGCCCATTTGCATAAGCCCACCTGTCATTTGGTGGAAATAATAGACTGGCCAGAAAGGCCGCATGAGGTCATTCACTACACTGCCAGGAGGGACATGGAGAGTTTAGAACTTAGTGTTTGTTGAGGGAGCAAATGCTGTTTTCCATGTAGTGAGCCCATGGCCCGGCTTCCTGGTGTCAGACAGAACCCAGCAGGCTGGGGCCGTCAGGGAAAGGGCCACTGAACTCGGTGTGAGGCACCTTGCAATGGGTGGGGCTGTGTCTCACATGCGGGTTTTTACCACAGTAAACGCAGGAATAAGTGCATGTGTGCGTGTGTGTGAGACAGAGTGAGTGTGTTTGTTTCCATTCTTATTCTAAAAAGTTGTCAGGTCCGTAGAAGAATTTGTAGAATTACAGGATATGAGTTTGAAGTGGACAGGTAGAAAAATAGGATATGATAAAAGGTTGCAACTTATGGAAAAATTGCATATGTGCACACTGGGACAGTATATAAATTTGGCCCCAAAAGTCCTGACCTCCAGGTTTTCAGGAAACCGTGTCCTGGGTGGTGTCCGTGAGAGCAGAAAGTGCCGGGTGTTTGACGTGTAAGCTCATTGTCCACACTCTCTGGGATCTTGGCCGGCTCTGCCTCTCTGCATCCAGTGTCTGCACTGGAGTAGTCAGCTGGCCGCAGGCTTTTGTTGTGGTCGGCTTGGTTTCACAGCTCTTTGCTTTTAAAGGGAATTCTCCCTCCTTCACTTGGCACGGTAGCCGTTGTACCAGTGATGTTGTTACATTTGCAGTTGGGGACGCTGGGGGCAGGCAACCATTACGCAGAAATCCAGGTCGTGGATGAGATCTTCAATGAGTATGCTGCCAAGAAAATGGGCATCGACCACAAGGGACAGGTGTGCGTGATGATCCACAGCGGAAGCCGAGGCCTGGGCCACCAGGTCGCCACAGGTGCGTGCCGGACTCATGATTTCACGTGGCGTTGTCGGGGACGGTGAAGGGAGGGCGTCCATGTCACGCCTGAGTCCAGGCCAGGACCAGTGCTTGTTGATGCTCCTGGGTGCTGGGGACCCAATGCAGGATGCTGCATTGTGGAACTTGTGCTGTGGACGTTCCTTCAGCAAGGACCAGTGGGTGCCTGCTCAGAGGACACTGCTGTGGGCCTCACCCAC